GGGGGCGGGGCCGGGACACCTGCATGCTTGGTGGCTCAGGCCTGGGAGTGGCCCTGAAGGACAGGCTGGGCAGAGGCTGCAGCCCCACAGAGGGGGGCAGAGCAAGCCACTTTCACTTAGAGGGCAGTGGGGACAGGCAGACAGCTCGGGTATGGGGTCTGGTAGCAGAGATTTCTGGAAAGGCCTGAGGACAGGGGGTCCGAGGGGTTCTGCAGGTGGCTGTGGTTTCCACAGGCGGGAACAGGAGAGGGGGGCCGGGGAGGCCGGGGATGGAGAACGGGTGGGGGGCGGGGAATCAGGGTAAAATCGAGGGGACAGCCTCTGTGGATGCAGAGGAGGCCTGTCCCAGGGCTGCCACCACCTGAGCCCAGACGCTGGGGTTGCTCAGATGCCCCTGGGCCCCAGCCCTGGGGGAAGGCCCCTCACCCAGCGGTCCCCAAGCTGCCTGGCGCTGCCAGACCAGTGTGGAAACTGCGCCGTGCACCCGGCTCCCACTCGGGAATGTGATGAGGCTGCTGGAATGGGCCCGGCCAGGGCCAGGGGCCGTCCCGGGCCGGGTGGGGTGCGGCGGCCGCTTCCCAGCAGCCCGGCCAGCTCCGCCGCGGAGGCTGGCTCCTGGGGTGTGGAGGGGAGAGCCAGACCCACATGGCGGGAGTGGGCCCGCTGCCCTGGAGAGGGCGCCAGGGTGGGAGCCGGCAGCGGGTGGTTATCCCCGCCAGGAGGGACTCCTCCAAGCCTCCATGTTACAGACGGACCCCCTGAGACCACAGAGGCCTGGGCACATGCAGGGCCCCAGAGCCAGGGACAGAAGACGCCCCATAGAACCGGAGCCAGGTGTGGTGGCGCACCCCTGGAATCCCAGCTGTGGGGAGGCCGAGGCAGGAGAACCGCAGGTTCGAAGCCAGCCTCTAGCAGGACAGTGCTCCTGGGTTCAAACCTCAGGACCTGCCCCTACCACACACACACACACAAAAAAAAAAAAAAAGTGAGAGAGAGGGGGGCACAGAGAGAGAGAGAGAGAATTTTAACATTTATTTATTTTTAATTCTCGGCGGACACAACATCCCCGTTGGCATGTGGTGCTGCTGAGGATCGAACCCGGGCCGCACGCATGCCAGGCGAGCGCGCCACCGCCTGAGCCACATCCCCAGCCCCTTTCCACTGGATCTTAAACCCCCAAGGCTTCTAATTGCCCCTTTATGTTAGGCGGTGAGATGAGCTGGTCCTTGTCTGATGATTGTAACCTTGCTGAGCCTCAGTGTTCCCATCTAATAATGGGAATAAATCCATGCCTTGCAGGGCTACAAACCTTCAATAAGACAACATGAAGCCAGGCACCGTGGTGCACACCCATAAGCCCAGAGCCTTGGGAGGCTGAGACTGGAGGACTGCAAGGTTAAGGCCAGCCTCAGCAACTCAGTGAGACCCTGACTCTAAATAAAATATATAAAAAGGGCTGGGGATGTGGCTCAGGGTTAAGTGTCCCTGGGTTCAAACCCTGGTACCAAAAAAAACAAGAGTCTCAGGCCTGGCTCAGTGACTGGCACAAAGTAGGTCTCAGAAATGTTTGATGGCTTCTCTGTTTCTGTGGTTCCAGTCAGCCAGCAGGAGCTGAGCCACCTGCCCCACAGGTAGTCCCGCCCCAAACCTGGTCGGACATGGAATAATCTTCCCTGGGGCACCACCAGGTCAAGCCCAGTCCTTCTCCCTTTTTATTTATCTGTTTATTGAGCAAATATTTATTGCTGGGCCAACTGTATCGGGGAGCGAGTGATCAGTGTCATGCGCAGCCTGGGTGCAGCCCAGAGGTCCCAGCTGCAGATCCAAGCGCTTTCCAAGTAGGTGCTCCTCGGGCTCCTGTTTATGGCTCACCTAGATCCTGGGCCTCAGCCAGGGCTGGGGGGTGTGAGTGGGGAGGAAGGGCAGAGAGCCTGCCGGTTCCTCTAGGATTTGCTAATTAATTGGGTAGTCGAAGGCCGGTTCCTGGCGAAACTGTTTTGACTTGTACCCAGACTGGGAGGCTGGAGGGAGGGGCGAGTCCCCTCCCAGAGCCCTCTAATTGCTGCCTTTGCCTCTGTCAGGGTTTTGCTGGGCCCTGACTGCCAAGGCCCTGCAGCTCAGAGCCCAGAAGGGCAGCAGGCTGCAGGCCCACTTCCCAGCCGGGAAGACCGAGGCGGCTGGTGGCAGGGCTGGTGGTCTAGAGCCAGTGTGGAGGCAGAGGGGGCCTGTCCTGGTCGCCTCCCAGATGTGAAGGGGAGGCTGGGGCCTCCCCAACAGACCTGGAATCAGGCAGGGCCAACCTCCTCCTGACACTTCCCCGTCCCCTCACCTGATGGGCTCCCACCTGGTCTGGGACGGAACTTCCTCAAAGAAGCTGCCTGGACCCTCCAGACTGGGTCAGGTGCACCCCCCAGTTTCTGTTCCACCGGCTCCTCTTCTGCCTCCGTGGCCCCCACCAGACTCATGTGGACAGAGAGGGGCTTCATGCGACTCTGTGGCCCACTGCCTGGCCTGGCACAGAGCGGGAGGTGACCAGAGGGAAGGAACAGAGGGACAGACACTCCGGGTGTCTGGGGTCTGTGGCAGTGTGGCCTCAGTGTCCCCAGAACTAGTGACTCCCATACTTCCACTAGCGAGGCACCCTTGAGAGGAGGCAGGACAGTGTCCGGTCCTGGCGGCTGAGGGAGGCCGGCGGCCAGCTGTGTAGCCAGGCCTCTGTGGCACGGGGCGAAGGGCTGGATCAGCACCGCTGGGGCTTGACTCCGGCTCCCTCCTGCTGCCCATGGGCCAGTGGCCCTGGCAAGCTCAGCCTGCCACTGCAGCCCTGGAGGGTCATGGAAGGACCTAGGCCAAGCCCTTGGGCGCAGTGGCGAGCCCAGCTGACCCGGGCAGGTGCTTGCTGATGCCCGATCTTGCCCCGGGGCACAGGCTCCTTCTGCCCTCGGTGGCTTGTTTGCTTTTCACTCGTGGCGGGAACTTGGATCACTTGGTCCCGAGCTGCTGGCCGGGTTTCGCTGCAGTGAAGTTACTTTTTCCTTTTTTTTTTTTTTTTTAATTTTAACCCTCGCTAGACTTTCTTTTTTGCAGTCCTGGGGATTGAGCCATGGAACCCGGGCGCCCCGCCACTGAGCTACATCCTCAGCCCTTCCTTGTTGTTTTTTGGAGACAGGCTCTGGAACTGCTCCAGCCTCAGCCTCCCAGGTCCCTGGGCGTACTTCGCCCCGGGCTCGGCCCTCTCTCCCAGGGGGCCTGGTTCCGTCTGTTGGAGAAGCGTGTGGAGGAGCCCAGGTGTGGGGCCGGGTGTGCATGTTATTAGAGGGGTGTCACTGCGTTCCGGCCTTCTAGGGGACACAGCTTAGTTTGCTTTAATTTAAAAAAAGTTTCCCCTTTAGCCAGTTGTGGGGTCTCTGGGGAACTAGAGAGAACAGGGTCGGTCTGTGGCCTCTAGGCTTGTGCGGGCTCCCAGGCCCACGGAGGGCCTCAGGTCCAGCGGGGCTGAGGGAGCGGGAGCACGGGACCCCTCTGCCAGGCCCAGCCCTTCTTCGACCGTGCCTGCTCACCAGTGGGGTGGGCTCAGCGGCCTGGCAGCTTCAGGAACGGGCTGACCCCCTGCTGGACCAACAGCTCTGTGGCCCTTGTCCAGCCAGAGGTAGAGTGGTCACCTGAACCAGGCCAGGCAAGGGTGAGGCCCCAGGACGTTCTGCTGAGCACCATGCCAGCCCACCTGGTGGCCCAGCACTAGTGAGAGGGGAGGAAGGCCAGCTGCCCTGACCACCCTCACCCTGCCCAGCCCCAGCCACAACTGACCCAGGAAAGTCTCCCCCAGCAGGGAGCTAGGCAGTGCAGGCCTTGCCACCCCAGGGCAAGCAGCATCTGTCCTATCCCCCACGACTCCAGGCTGAGTCCTCCAGGCTGAGTCGATGCTGCCTCTCCCAGGGACGGGAATCCTGCCACGTGCTGCTTAAAGACTGCAATGGCTCCCTATTACCCTCAAGCAAAATCCCACTCCTGGACCTGCCCTGCAAGACCTTGGCGAATTCGGCAGAACCCGTGTCACGACTTCAGAACGCCAGGCTGCTGGCGGGTCCCTTGCACAACCCTGGCTGCACAACCCTGGCTGCACGCCCCTCCCACGGCCTCACTGGCAGATCCTTCCCAGTCCCTCAGCCTCAGCCCGGGGGCTGCCTCCTCCAGGAAGCCTTCCTCCAGATCATCTCCGTGTGCCGGGCCCTTCCCTGGTGACCTGTGTTCAACACCTTCCCGAGCTCTGCTTCCCACAGCCTCTGACCCGCAGGGCCGCAGTCGGGTCCAGCAGGGAGAGGTTGGGACTGGGATTATGGGATTGAGGTGCCCTCTTCACACGGTCAGGGCTGACCCCCATCTCCCAAGGCGGCTCTAGTGGGTAGGAGAAGGCAAGGGGGAGGTCAGTTTGGAAAGTCCAAAGCCCCGGCCAGCATCCCTTGGTCCCCTCTATGAGAAAAGCCTCTCAGGGGGATTCCCAGCTCTGCTTGCCATCTGGCCTCTGCCCCTCACTTGCTGTGTGCCTTGGGGCAAGGCTGTTCACTGGGCTCAGCCTCGGTTTGCCTCTTCTGTAGAATGGGGCCACCCACAAAACCCGTCGCAGGTCGCTGAAGCTCCGACAAGACAAAACCTGTGAAAAGCTCGCTGAAGAATCTCTTCCAACAACTCCGTGGAGCCGTGTGGGAGGGAGGCCGGCAGCTGCCCCGACTTCGCGCCTGCCTAGTGCCTGCCTAGTGCCTGCCTGGCCCGGCCAAAGCCTGGAGATCAAAGGTGACTGAGGCCTGCTGGCATGGAGGCCGGGCTTGGCAGGGCCTGCTCCCTGGCCCCCTGCCCACCTCCCACCCACCCAGTGACACGACATGCCTGCCTTACGCAAGAAGCTCTGTCTAAACACCCGGGGTTAGTGGGGAGCCCTTGCCCGACACCCCACACAGGAGGCCTCTCGATCCCCAGCCCGCTCCCAAGACCGAAAGCCAAGATCGGTTTGAACATCTGCAACTTTATTCCAGAGCAGAAATAAGTCATTTTCTAACAATAAATATAAAAAAAAAATAATAAATTAAGGTTTCAAAAAATATCCAACAAAACAAAGTCATTAACACTGACAATGTGGGAATGTCGTCCAGAGGGCGGGAGATGGGGTGGACGGGCGGCCGGCAGGAACCTCCGGCAGCATCGGTGCCCGAAGCCTGGCCGCGTCCACCCAGGCCCGCTCTGCCCCCAGCCCTGCGGGGCCCCTGCCACACGTGCACTCTCTCCATGAAGTACAAAATACAGATTTAAAAAAACCTCAACACAACCAAGCGTCCCGAAAGGGCCCAGGAGAGCAAGAGATTGGCCTGTTAGGGCTGAGGACAGGGCCTGGGGTCTGCAGAAGGCCCGAGGGACGGAGCACCACTGTGGCTCTCACCCAGCCAAGTTCAAGGTCTGCCCTCGTTCAGCGAGGGGTGGGGCTTGAGGCGGCCACCTGTTCAAGTGGCCAGGGCTGACCCCCATCTCCCAAGGTGGCTTCTACCAGGTGGGAGGAGGCAAAGTGGGGGTCAGTTTGGAATGTCCCTCGTGGATGCCCGAGGTCTCGGTGGGGCTTGCCCGGGGGCATGCTGGGAACTTGATGGTGCCTGCTAAGTGCTGGGCCGTGTCCCTCACTGGGGACGAGGCCTCGGCCAGCATCCCCGAGGGTCTCATCAGTTCAGGGCAGGATGTCCTCCATGACCCCCCAGCAGAGTCCTCAGGGGGGGGGCATCAATAAGAACAACTAGAAATAAATAAGGTCCCTGGTGGCCAACTGCAGAGCCGGCAGGGGGCCATCTGGATCCTTCAAGTACTCTCGGCCGAGGGCGCACCAGGCGGCGGCTCAGATGGGGATCCCCACGGCGTTCACCTGGTCCTTGAGTCCCAGTAGGCTGTAGGCAATGCGTTTCTGGTGGCCGGGCAGCCGCACCCCGATCCTCTTAATGTCGCTGCGGGCAGGCAGGAAGAGGGAGAGGGAGAGTTAGGGGCCAGAGCTGCGGAGGGAGGTGGACGGGGCAGGGAGGGTAGGGGAGCAAGGAGGAGAACAAGGGGACCTGTTCCCATCAGGGAGGCCCAAGGAGATCCTGAGAGGATCTAAGATGGCCCACCATCATCAAAGTTGGGAAAGTGACTGCAGCGCCCACTCTGCCTGTTTTTAATCTAATCAAACTTCACAGTTATCTCTGAGGTGGGTGCTCTTTTTAGCCCCTTATTGCTAATTCAGGAATTGAAGTTCAGAGAAGTGGAGTGACTTGCCCGGGGTCACACAGCTCTCTGGTGAAAGAGCTGGGTATTAACCAGTGGGGAGCCGAGGCCCCTTCTGGCAGGTGGCAGGAGGCCACTGCCAGGTGACTGGTTTCCAGGGACCCTCGAAGGCCATTGCACAAAGCCCTTCTCCACTCAAGGTCTCTTCCTATCTGTCCACCGCCTCATCTCAAGTTCCCCGTGGGCAGCTGAGGAAGGGCTCAGGAAAGACTTGCTGAAGGACCATCAGCATTACAGCTCTGACCGGCACCCTGATTCCCTCCCCTGTAAAAGGGGATGGCAGTGCCCGATGGCAGGCGGGAGACCTCAGGGACGGCAGAGCACGCAGCTTCAGTGCCAGGTGGGAAGCTGTTCCCAGGAGTGCAGGTCTCCCCTCCCACCCGAGAGAGGTGCAGGCTCCGGCCTCTCCCCGTCACGCCCGCCCGCCGTCCCCTTGTAAAACCACTTAGGCTCCCAGCAACCCGCAACAGGCTGTTTATTGCTAACTTTGGGAGTTTTCTCCCCGGCTCTCCTCACCCGCCAGCCCAAACCCATGAAAACACCCAGGTTTTTACAGCCGTCTCTTGGCTGTAAACGAAGCTAATTATATGGTGCAAGCTCCTATTTGCAATTCCGGAGACATGACTTTCCCACAGGCTCCAGGGAACCCTCTGAGAAGTGCTGAGCAGGGAAGGGCAGACCCAGGTGAGGGAGGTAGCTGCTCATGCTGCAGCAAGAAAGCCAGAAGTTAGATTTTCAGGACAACTTCCAAACCTACCACCTGAATGACACTTCAAACCTACCTAGCTGGGAGCACTCTCCCACCCCTAGAGGTGTCACAGTGTGGGTGCTGGAAAAGCACTTATTGAGAACACCTGGGGAGGTGGCATCCCCAGAAAAGGCAGGATCCTGGGCAGCTAAAGGGCAGAAGTCTTAGACTGACCCTCAGTCTAAGAAACACCAGAGTCTGTGAGCTCCTAGACATGTGCGGAGGCTGGCACCCCCGTACCGCCCCTCCAGGGGTTCTGGCACATGCTCGCTCCTCAGGGAGCACCTGCTGAGCACAGAATGAGCAGATGCGTGCTTTCTGTGAGGATGGAGCCACTGCCCAGGCCACCTCGGGCTCCTCTCCTCCATCAGAGCAGCGCAGGCTCATCTCCCGGGCGCTGAGTGGCCTCTGACCCCATTCGGGAGGCAGAAGCCCCGGGTGGGTCTGTCCTGGGTCTTTACATGTAAAAAGGGAGGGTCAGCGAGCCTCTCCAGAGAGCAGCCCAGCCCCTCCTCCTTCACACGCAGTCCCCGACCCTCCCCTTTCTTTCCTAACCACAAACAGAGCAAGGCACTGGGACCAACTAGTGACCCACCGCAGACGCCCCGAGCCTGCCCTGCCAGCGGGGGTCCCCGACGCTGGGCAGCCCCCCACCAGCTTCCTGAACGGGAGCAAGGTGACACCTCGCTGGGCCACCTCCTGAGCACTCGTAATGCCAGCTCTGGCCCCAGGAAACTCCAAGGCCACCTACCCAATGCACATCTATGGCATGTGGCTCTGAGTCTAGGAAGGGGACACGAGGAATGGCCCCCAGCGCCCACAAGTCACTCAACCACTCTCCCTGGGCTATTCCTCCTGCAGAGCCTGTCCCGGGGCTGTGGCCTGTGCCCCGGCCACACACAGGCACTGCTCACTGTCGCCTTGACACTGGGCAGGACCTGCTGTCAGGCTGGGCAATTTGGGGGCGTGTACGACACCCACCTGTCCCATCACTCCTTGTCTAGCCAGAAACTCGGGCAGGAGCGAGCAGCAGGCCCCAGGGAGCAGAGAAGCGGGGGCCGGGGACAGGAAGCCAAAGCGCGAGCCCACCAGGCCAGGGCCTGTGCCCCTGCCACCAGCTCCCGTGAGATTTAGGCCGTGTAGACAACACACTGCAGATTTGTAAAATTGTGTTGAGATCCCCATTTCCTTGGGGAGTCTGCGCGGCTGTGAGTCCCGAGGGCCCAGTGCCCCTGGCAGGCTGGCGGGAGGACGGGCTGCCGGCTGAGTCCCTGCTTTACCCAGGTCCTTCCAAACCACACACACACACATGAGCACACGGCCTCTGTCCATCCCAGAGAGCCCTGTCCCTGCTCGTGGGAAAGGAATTGGCCAGGAGCACCCCAGGCTATTTCGGGACGTTTCTAAGAACATGTGTTTCCTGTAAGGACTTCTCGCCCTCCGCTCTGGTCACCAGGAGAGAAGCTGTGCTGTCCTCCAGGGGGACCCCTGGGGGGGGCCAAGGGGCCTGGCCCAGGTTCCCAAGGAGGAGGAGAGAGCTCGGGAACCCAGGTATTTATTTGACCACGGTCTACAGGCAGAAAGCCAGGGAGACATGGACTAGGAGACCCCAGCTAAGCCCTCACTAGGTGCTGGGCAGGTCCACCCACCTCAGACCCATGCAGGCCCCACAGCAGGAGATGGCCCCCCAGGTCAAAGTGGACTTAATAGGATCAAGGTGATTAGGAAGAGGGAGAGATGGGACTTGAACCCAGGTGTGACCACAGAGCCCAAGTGTGTGCCTGCCCTTGGCTGGCGGTGAGAGAGACCCAGGGACCTGGGTCCCCTTCCCGTGTCTCTGCACCTCCCTCTGGTTAGCTCTGTCCCTGCCTGATTCCCACTGCAGGCCGTCCCCCTGGGGCAGGACACAGCCAGCAGGCTGGAGGCCCCACTGAGCAGCTTCCAGAAGCCCTAGAGAATATTCATGCAGAGACCCAAGTCCCAGGACTTCTGTGATCCAGCAGTGTGGGAGGCCAGGTCATCCCCTCCAAGTGGTTCCCAAAACCTCCCGGGCCAGGGTCTGTTCTTGATGAGACCTTGGACGCTGCACAATCAGGGCTGTGGGGACCCACTACTATTTTTAGAGGCACAGAAGGCTAAGAGCATAATGTCCTCTCCCTGCAGGGACCGGAAGAGGTGGCCCTGCCAAGGCTGTGCTGGGAAGTCATGGTGCTGGAGTGCAGGGGGCAGGAGAGTCCGGAGGGGCAGCCAGACAGAGGGCAGACCCAGGACTGGCAAGCCTCTCCAGGGCTGAGAGCCACCACGTGGGGACAGTGCCCGGGAGCCCGCTGGCAGGAACTCTCTCTTGTACCTGTCTCTTCTGTCTGGCGGGGACGTGGATAGGCCCTACTGCCCCGTCCTAGTAAGGACTGGGTCCTAGGGCTCCATCCCAGAGCTGGCCTGCAGTCAGCCCGTCGCTGGTGGCTATGCTATTGTGACATTAACTGTTATTTTCCCTTTCTGGAGAAAGAGGCAGGAAGGGTGGGCG